CTACTAATAGTTAATTAAAAACTGTATATAATGGCTATTTTGCACATCCCTTTCAAGATTTCAAGATTTTCTAAGGTTTATTGACATATCATATACACAACTACGGTGTAGTTATGCAATGAATGAAACACTTGGGTCACAGGTTCATCAACAGTGCATCACAATACATCTATCGATATCTGTGTACCTCCACCATTAAACATATTCTGCTCCTTTTTTATACTATCTACATACATCTTATAAGAGTATAATTAATATGTATAATATCAGTTAAAATAAGTGCTTCAACATAGTTAACAGGAAAGTTGATTGTCAAGTTCCAAAACAAACCATGCAATATATTAGACGTTAAGTACTTTGTCAGGCTTAATATCTGTAGATACCCCCAAAGCTTTTTTCTTATTTAAAAGAAGACCTTAACCTAAAGTATTCTTTAATGTTTAAATAAAGCCTTATTAGTTTGTCTGTTTTGCACATCCTCCTATCAGGCACTAAACTGTTTTATTGTGGAGATCACTTACAGTATCTTCTTGATATTTTCTATTCTATATTATTTATATCATTGACCTTCCACTGTCCCACTATATTAAGAGTATGTACTCTTAATATTTAAATGTTTTCATCAAATATAACACATTCAAAAGTGCTTTACAAAAATGAAAGACATTAAGAAAAAGGCATTTTAAAACAGTCATTAAAAAGCAACACAATCTACCTGCATTGCAATTACTCTAAACATGTAATAACGTGCTTTAACCAGTAGGAGGTGCGGGTTAAAAAGCTGTCAAGTTTACAGTGTTAACAAAATAAAATATACTGCTGTTTCTGGTTTAGTTTACGACGGATATATTCTGTTATTGTTTTGATAATTGTAACACAAAAGCGATGGAAAAAACCCACAGCAACACAGAAAAGATGGTCTTAACATGACCCAGCGGTCTAGTAGTTAATAAAAAACAATAATATCAAAACAAATTATTACTACTAACTTTATTGTGAAATTAAAACAGAACGGTAAAAGAATAGTTTCCGGTCTATTCTGAGGCCCGATCTCTGTAGATAAATAAAGAACTACGACAGATGTGTAATGTTTAATGCAGCCAAACCATTCATTACAATGCATTCATGTGATGACTTTCAAAGAGTAAAGCAAGCACTGCTGAATAAAGTATGATTTTATCTTTTACTAAACGTTTTTTTCATATGGAATGCAGTTGGAGATCAACCAATCACAGCGCTTGAGACAAAGCGGAACAATAGCTGAGGATTCTGGGTAGTGTAGTGTCTTCTGCCATCCACACACTACGAAAAAATATTTGTTTCTCCGAATCGAAAGGGGAAAATTGTACACAATTTAAACCAATCAATGTTGTGTAATTAACAAGGATAATCTGGTGTTTTTGAGTTGATGAGTAGTGCAGATATCACTGTAAAATCAATCGACAGTAAGGAGAATACTTACTTCCGGGTGTAAAATCCTCCGTTATCCAATGGCAATGGACGCTCACATTGCTCTCTGCGTCCGTAATACAATAAAGGGGACTTGATCAAATAGGAATATAATTATCTTTTAAATAACGTTAACTAAAGGGAACAATCTATTTGACACAGCTGAAGCTCTGGCCTTCCTTAAAGGAGTGATTCTACAATTTAGGGTACATTCCATGTCCATTGATGTCCATTGATGATAATTATAATTATTCCAACTATTTTCTTCAAAAATATCATATTTTGCCTATTATTGGAAAGCATGTTATAATATCACACAAACATTATGTGCATCCTATGCTTTATTTACCTTGAAATGTGTCATGATGTTCTTAAATTGTCAGTTTTTGCTCTGTCCGTTTTTCAGTTGAGGGTGTCTTGGTTTCAAAATAATGAATAAAAACCATTAAAGTAAATAAAAAAAAGTATTCATTTATTTCAAAAGTCTAAATACTAAAGAATAATAACATCTTTTTAATTGATTTCCTCCTTTAAATAATTTAAATATCTTTAAATCTATATGAATGTCCGCAAAAGTTCTGTCAACTATGTTACTAACAGAACTCCCCCATTTAACTCAAAAATGGTTTGTCCCAATACCATGTCACCAGCATCACATGATGCCATGTTCCTCTTTGGCAGACATTTTGAACACACTGTGGTGATTGTCCTCTAATTTTTTACAATATTTTATGTATAATAGCACATTGTCAATGAGTATATTCATTGACCGTCAACAATGTTACGTACATTGTTATGGTTTACAATTGTTTAATGATTTTAATTCAATTATATGTTCAAATGTGATGTTAACCTGTTCAAGAAAATGACATGTGGTCATCCAAGCAAGGCCTACCATTGAAATGATGGGTCAAAATAGGGAAATTGTCAACTAGGTTACCTGTCAACTAAGTTACCCAGTACTGTAATAACTGTAGTAACAGTTATTACATTTATATCAAATAAAATAAAAAAATGTTTAAGCTTTGCAACCAGTGGATATGTTACACTGAGGAATATACTAACTTGAACCACTGATTGTTCTATTGAGAAAGAACACTTTCTTTGTACTGTTTTGTTGATGTGAAATGCACCCTAAATTATAGAATCACTCCTAACTCATTTAATAAAAATCACAGTTGTATTACACACAATGCACTGTTTTTTTAGAACAAAAATTGGTGAATAATGCACCATAATACATTCTGACGAAAAATAAAAATTATTATGAATACAAATAAAATAAAAGAAGCCTCCCGTGAGTTACTACAAGCTATAAAGTAGATTTTAAAAACGTTTTATAGAATAAAAGCTCAATGTTGGACGTTGGAGAAATGCGTGTGTGCACCACGACAAAGGAGCCTCATTCACTTTACATTGGGGTTGTTTGCGTGGTGCAGACACGTAAATGTAGCAAAGTTCGTGACTCCACCACGCACTGCGGTGTTAAGGAGTCGTGGTGGAGTCACGCATTCTGGTGAGACCAGGTTGGGTGAAAAGAGGTGCTGCAGCACAGGCAGTATGAGAAAATAAAGCATGTTTTGAACATGTTTTGAACATGTTTTGAACATGTTTTGAACATTAAAGCATGAAAACATGTCACAGTAGAGGCACAACATACACATATGAACCTGAAAATAAGCATAATAGAGCCCCTTTAATTCCCTCACTTAGTCATGTAATATGTTATTGTATTATATCAATGAGTGCAAGCAAAGGTTGTGGGATGGGGAACATTGGTGTGGAGAGGGTTTGAAGCAGCAGATTATTTTGGTATAGTTTGGAGTGGACGCAGCGGGGGTCAGATGGTTTAAGTGCTGTTTTAACAGACTGGAATTGTTCCTGCTGTGGAGGTCCCATCTCTCTCCACTTCTACCCCCAACCCCCCTTTCCCATGCAGGCAGCAGTGGGCTGTAATCACTAAATTACTGTTTTCACTCTCGGCTCCAGTCACCACACTGCACAGCTCCCCCCCCCCGCCCTACTCCCTCTTCCTCTCACTTGCACTCTTTCTCTCTGTTTCTCTCTCTTTGTCCTATTTCCTTTGCTCTGGCGTCCCTCTCTTTCCACCCGGTCTTCATTATTTATGTGAAGCCGTCTTACTGTAAGCTGCCTTCACGGGAGGAAGACCGTGAGAGAGAGGGAGAAATGAAGATAGAGACAGGGCCTGGGGATGGAGGTAGAGGGGGGGGGGGTGGATGGAAAGTTTGGAATATGAAATGAATTCGCCTAATGCACTTCTCATGAAATGATGAAACATTGGACTTTCTTTAATGAGAACGCTGCCCGCCTCGCCGTCGCTCCGGCTCTCTGTCTGTTTTCCATTCTGTCCACACGCTCTCCTCTCTAAAATGGAGCGTGCTCTTCAAACAGTACAGTAAAAACAAGTCATTTTTCTAAATCTGAAATCCTCTACCTCGGGCGAGTAATTGTCCGTGTGTTTGTCAACCGAGCTGTTCCTCAAGAGTAAAATAAATGATTCACGTAAAAAATTGTTTCTGTGACATCAGAAGCGAGGCACCCTGTCCTCACCTGGTGACACATGCATCTACGTGTCCTTGAGTCAGGCTGAGGTAGGAGGCCACGCTAGCTTTTTCCCTCCGCGCTCTTCTTCTCTCGTAGCATCGCAGAGGGCGAGGAGAGGAGAGGTTGTCATGGGAACAGACATGGAGAGCCCTGTGTGCGTGAAGAGGCAGAGACAAAATGACAGAATAGTGAACGAGCGTTTGAACGTGGGAGAGGCTGCACAGTCAGACTAATGTAAAAAAAGACAACATACACAACATAGCAACTGTGGGGAAATAACTTTGATTCAGTGCTAAAACGAGTGAGGGCTGCAGTTTGAGGAAGAAAACAACAAATACAATGTTCCCTTCGCTCATACGCCATAAACCGTTTGTTTTTCTCTGAGGCAGGAAAAGATTTCATGCTCAGTTTCTACAGATTTTGCTCCCAGATCCCCTCACCATGCCCCATTGTAACTAACTGACAGTGGTGTACAGTTAATACATTTAAGCACTGTCATTTAGTACAATGTTGTGGTACTGGAAATGTACTTGAATATTTATTTTTCCTGCTACTTTGTGTGTCTCCTCCTATTAATTTCAGAGGCAAATATTGTGCCTGTTACTCCATTACATCTGTTTGATAGCAGTGACTTTGAAATTCAGATTCATTAATAAAAAACATAATCAACATATCATTTATGATGTATTATTATAGGATAAGATAATCTTTTAAATCCCTTTGGGAAGTGTCCCGGTCATGTGTTCATTTTGCAGGATTCCTGCAAAATGAACACATGCCTTAATAATTATTATATCATGATAACATTTATATTGTACAGAAAATAAGAAATAAGCTGGTCTGCAGAATGAGTACTTTTGGCTCGAAGTTTAACAACTGTTCACTGTCCCATTACTACTTTCACTTAAGTAAACATCTAAGTACTCTGCTCAGTGAAAAAGGTGCAAATCATTCACCTCTTCTTCCTCTCCTCTTCCTCCCTTCAGCCGGTCCCCACCAGCCCCACCAGCACCTCCCCGACACCCGTTGGAACTCTAGGCATGTCCAAAATGGACGCTCCCAGCATGCAGGACGTCTACATCCTCTCCCCCGTCTCTGGACTCTACAGCACCAGGTAAGCACACACAGATGTTTGATGATGATGATTATGATTACATTGATTATGATGATGATGATGGTGCTGATGATGATGATGCTCTCTCCAGGGATGAGATGGGCTTGATGTCCTGCGACGAGATCAACCGCTACAGCGTTAGCTCCCAGTCCGGCTCCAAAGGTTCGGAGGCCGTCAGCTACTACCTGGACCAGGACAGTGGTCAGTACTTCTCCCTGCTGGAGGGAGACGGACCCCCGGGTTCTGACTATGACAGGACCCGCAATACGGGGGTTCGTAGGCGGGACAAGACCCCAACCCATGGTGAGATGGAGAGCGCAATTGAACAGTGCGAATGGGGCATTAACGGCCTGTGTTTGCTTTGTACAACCGCATGCTATCTCCCGCTACTCTTCTCACCCTTTTCTCAGAACTCCTTCCTTATGTGTTCATCATCTCTCACTTCATGGCTCAGCTTCTTTGTGTCTTTACCTCGCGTCCCAAAAACACTGATCACATGCCACAAAAGGTCAGTCCAAAAACACTGTGTCCAGCTCCCTGTCTGCCCCACCACCTGTGTCACACTTGTCCGAGAAAGCTTTTAGACATCCTGTACCGTCCTGGGAGACTCTCAAGGGGACCTATTATGTCAAAGACGAGGGTCATGTGACTGACGGAAGTATTGGAAGACAACAACATTTTTTGGTAACCTTGATAGCTATAGGTCACTTGTATTGTAAGAAAGTGATTAGTGAAGTGGCACAGAACACAACTGGACTTGAAAGTTAATCAATAAATCAGTTTTTCTGTTAATAATGGTTCAACGACAATGTATTATGCAAAAGGCTTGGCTCCCAATCCACAAATCCACAGAGAATCAGAAGGGTACTCCATCATGACAGTTTACATAACTGAAAAATAATGCATGTATTAACCTGTGAGTCAGATCAACTCCAATATAAATGGATTCTCCTTGCCCGGCGCCAAGTTTCATAAAAATCGTCCAGTATTTTGTTTTAACCTACTGAAAAACCAACCATACCACAAATATAACCTCTTTGCCAAAGGTAATTGTTATCCTCCATTGTTTGGTGTAGGTATATGGAGATCTTAGCCTCTTTGAGGTAATTGTTTTGGATTTCTGTAAGCAAACTCTGCTCTTAATAAGACTATATTCAGTACTATTATTTCAACAATTAATGCTTTGGTTTACCAACTGTACATTACCTGTCCAGCAATAAATTGTACAAAAACAAAGTTATGTCGCCGCTGAATAACAATAGATTTCCCTCATTAGTCGCCGGAGACCAAAATAGAGATAAAACTAAAGTGAATATTCAACGTACACTTGTTGATCTATTAGAAATCCAACACCTGTGACAATTTTTTTTCTTCGTAAAACCCTTTTATGTTGACAAGACTTGAAATAATATCTCACAAGTGGTAATTAGCTATCAATAAAACATAAGGCTGTGTGATCCCTACAGTACCTTGCACATCATAATTGAGAGTCTCCCGTTCCTCCCCCCTCAACTGCACACACTTTGTCTCACCTGTCCACCCCTGTCCAGCTGTCTCCCACGCTGTCTCTCAGTCACCGTCTTCCCGCGACACCCCCACTCCTCCCCCGCTTAGACGACTCTCTGATTGCTGATTGGTCGTTCCAGGTGACCTCAGACCCGTTTCCATGCCTCCCGAATATAACTGGATGGCTGAACCCAAGGAACCCAGCATGGGCAAGAGAGGGAGCCGAGGTACACACACACACACACACACACACACACACACACACACACACACACACACACACACACACACACACACACACAGACACACACACACACACACACACACAGACACACACACACACACACACACACACACACACACACACACGCAGTTTGCGCTTTTGCGCTTCGCTCCATACTCAACACATTTCAGCTCATCCTCTGGTTTTCATGGTGTGGTTGTGTGAGGATACATATCAGCCAGGTATGTATCGGACAGAGTTACAGGGAAACATAAATGCAAGGAAATTGCATTTATACAGCTGCTCTGGAAATGAGGGAATTTCTTTTTGACCAATTCTAACCAGCTTCACCGTTTTGCAGCAAGACTTGATCTGTATTCAACCGAGGATCCTCCACTCTACCATCAGAAAGTCCATGAATAACATTAAAGCACACAACTTGGGTCTGCCTTTCTCCTCCTCTCTCCTTCAGTCCCTTTCTCCACATTTAGGTAAATGGATAATAAACAAATTAAATGAGAAGCTTCTATCTGGAATAACACTTTCTCTGACTGACAGGATTGAGCAGTTGTGCCCTCCAAACTAGCATAATCATGGCAAACAGATTAGCTGTGTGTCCCCGGCTGGATCCATATCAGATGCTTCAGCTCTGAGGCCCTTTTATCCCTTTCTGTTGGCTTTTTATCTGTAAGGGTTTCATCTGACTCTACTTTTGGGTTATCCCTCGACTTTACGACGCTTCTCCCCCCCCCCGCCCCCCTCCTCTGTGGGTTTTTCCGCTTTAAATTGAGCCTGTCCGTCCTCTAACTGCTCCCTGCCTTTACCCCTCCTCATCCCCACAGATTCAGACAACTCCCTGCTGCGTTACCTCAGCGACGACAAGATCCTGGTGATCGAGGAGGAGCCCGAGGGTCCGGGCAGAGAGAGTCGGAGGGATTCCACCAGACGCTCTCGGCGCAAGAGCCGCAATCCCAGCAGCCCTAGCTTTCCCATCAGCCCCTCCATGCTGTCCTCCACCCTGCGCCTAGACCAGCCACCCGAAGCTTTGCCCGTATGTACACAGTCTGGGTTCTTTTACCTATTTAAAATATGTTTTTTACAGTTTCAATGTGTGTCTACTTTTGTCTGGTTAAGCTAGTTAGAAGTGGTGGTGGTCTGTACTGTATGTCTATTTTGTTTACACATGGATAGAGAAATGTCATGTAACTAACATGTAAAGGATAATGCTGGCTAGATTGTTTTATGTCAACAAATCCCATCAAAATGACCAAAATCAACAATTATTTGATCCTACTGAGATGATAGATGTTGTTAAAACATGATCTACTTTATCTTATTCCTCTGCTCTGTGATCTTGGAGCTCCATCGTTGTCCAAACATTATTACATTTTGCATTCACTTCAAATGCAAAATACATATTGCATTTGAAGTGAATTTGAACCAGTGTAAATCTTTAGATAGAGAGGTGAATGCTTAGCTCCTCATCTTCAGTAAAACTATCAATCATAAGTAAGGTTTCTAATTGATGTGATGCACTTCTTGCATGTGACGGATACATTATCATATATTACAATGCCAATGTGTTAATACATTGTACTGTTGGATTGTCTAGTGGATCCCATGAATAATCAGAGTAAAAGTCTTATGACTATTTTCACAGGCGGAGTAAAGGTAGTTTATCGTTTAATATGTCATTTCTTGTTTTTTTTACTGCAGACATTTTGACTAACGCCAATTTGAACAATACCAGGACCCTCAAACTGAAGGAGCTAAATAAAATGCAGCTATTACTAATGCATTTTTTTCTACTAACAAATGTGAAACGGTCTGCTGTAGGAAAAAAATACTATTAATAAATTACTAGTAGTGGCAGCTAAATCACCATCAAGGCTTTTACTCTGACTCACTCGCACAACTTCCTACAAGTGCATGTCCTCTCCGAAGGTTTGTGTTTGGGTCATGGTGTTCACAGATTCACACACGTTGTTGTGTGTGTCAGGCAGAGGAGACAAAGGAGAGTGAGGATGATCAGTGTCATTGCATGGCTGCCAGATTCACAGATTATGAGAATGACGGTGACACTCTGAAACACACCCCTCTGTAACTTTTCTCTCAAGCACACACACAAGAACACACACAGGCATACACAAACAGACACACACCAGCACAGTGGAGTGCATTTGCATGCAGGGTAGCCATCTCACGACTCATCCTAACTCATCCTAATATCCCCATCTCCTCAGACACGCCTGAGTCTAAATAGGAGTTTATTCTGGACAAACACACATACACACTGGCATGCGCACACGAACGCAAAACACGTATCCCTGTGAGTAGGTGCATGACTCAGCATCAGCCAGACCAATTACAAGAGCGACTGACCGACTGTGCTTAAAACAAGAGGCACGCAAACACACACATACACACATCAGCGCTAACAGCTTAGCTAACACCAGCCTCTCTAACCCTCTCAGCTTCTCATGCTGGTGACTCATATCTATTCGGTGGCACATGAAGTATACTATCCGGCACTAACAAGCATACGCTAACCTTAATGACCTGCTTGTTTCTTCACCCTCGTCCTCTCTGCATGATTCTTTTCGATTAACATCAACATTTATGCAAAATAACATGTTATTTTAAACTTACCGATGGACAATTTATAGGGAAGTTTCATGTCTAGCAGTCCTACACATTTTGTAGAGCAACTAAGGCCCCTAAAGAGATACCACTTTCCCAAAGCACTTTAGAACAAAGCAAAATTAAAACATTTGGAAAAGGGTTTGGGTTTGTATACAAAATAAAAAAATTGAAATAAATAAAAATAAAGTTAGAACATAGTTTAGAAATTGGATTATCAAGATACATCCCCTCTATAAACACTAAATAAACCACAACAATATGATTATTACCAACAAAGGTGCAAAGAAGAAAGTGCAAGTCTTAAATGAGGCATTTGTTCCCCTTTTCTCTCTCAGCGGGGTGCGGACACACTGCGAGCGGACACAATAGACCGGTGAGTCTGTGGTTGTGGTTGTTTGTGGTTTAACCACATGGATTGATGGAAGGAGATGAAAGAGTCGTTTGTGGTTACATTTAATCCTGTGTGTTGTCCTGTAGGTACTCCGGCTCAGGGAGCTCAGGAGCCGCCTCCATGAGGAAGGTAGGAGAGCAGCCAGAGCCAACGAGCTGACTGTGTATTTTTTAGATGTTTTATAGATCAATAGTTCTGATGGTTTATTTACCTGATGTTTTAATAATGCCGCCTTTTTCAGTACATTTTTATTCTGTAACTGCATTTTAATGACGCAACAGAAGCTTCATTCACATGTAGTATGTGAACTCACTATAACAAATTAAAAAATAAAACTTTAATAAATATGGGAAAAGTCCTGCAGATTCTAAGTTAAGAATTTGATTAGAACGTGTAGCGTTGAAATGAAACACCTCTTTTGCCTTAACATGAAGACTCATCCACTGTTACATGGAGATGGGGTGTGTCCAAATAGTAATAATAGCTAAACATACAGTCAGGCACAAAATGGAGAGATACCTGATATGAAATCCATTGGGGACTCTGATAATTAAATAAAAGATACAAGTCAGATGAGGTAAATTGCTTTCCATATTTAGGTTACAGGAAGCTGTGTTAGTCATTGGCCCTCGCCTCTCCTCTAAAGCACATGAGTTGTATGAGCGTACAATGAGTCAGCGCCACTGTAAACAGATATTTACTCAGCTTTGTTACCTAGATAAAAACCCCGAAGATGTATTCAGCTATGTTTTGTTGATACCTTTAGCGTCTACTCACATTAGCTTCTTCTGAAATGCAATAGTGTGAAATTCAAGTGTGTTTGCTAACCACACAATTATATTCTGTGACTTTGAATGGGGGAGGGGGTGCTAGTGAACTGTCAACGGGGGGGGAGCCTCGTGATCGGTACCGGCCCATCGGGTTTCGTCCCGAACGTCCCGATGGCCAGTCCGCCACTGTCTCCGTCACAGGTTGTAGGTCATTTCCTGGCTGCAGCAGCATTACTGTTGTGATCCCTCTGTGCCAGTAATCCTCTCTGCTGTGGGCTGGATAATAAAATAAAAATAAGCTAAACATGTAGAGTGAACTTGCTACAACCTCTCTATGTACATGAACACCAACCTAGATTGTTTTTTTCCCTCTCCCTTCTAGTCTTTCCATTACACCTCTCTCAGAACGAAAACCAAAAAGAGAAGTAAAGGTAGGCTCATTTTCTCTTTCTTACCTTATATTTTGCAGTTATACCACTGTAGGTAGGAAAACGTTTCACCCCTAAAATATGTCTCAGTCTAAATGTCTGAACTCTGAACTGTAAACTAACCCGGAAGCCTGACACTATAATGAAAAGTCCAGATGCACAGTTCTTGATCAAAAGTAATGCATGTACTGTTGCAAAACCATCGCACTTGCACAATATATTTTCTTGCAAACACCTGCCGTATTCGATTTATTGTTTACCTCTTTTAGATTGATCACTGTCACTGAATATTCTTATGCTGTGGAGATGTGTTAAAAATATCTTCAGTTTAGAGGAATTAAAAAGTTAACATCAGATTTTTCAAGAATCAACTCTAACTGTAAGCTACTGCAGACCTTAAGTCCAGAAATGTTGAATTAGCCAGCCTGGAACCGCTAGATAAATGGCGAACCTCGTTTTATTGCCAAATTCTTTGAAAATGACTCAGTGTTAACAACGTTCTCTTCTCTCTTTTTAGGTTCCCTCTCTAGTGCCAGTAGAAGGAGAATTTCCTGTAAGGACCTTGGCCACGGTGACTGCGAGGGCTGGCTGTGGAAGAAGAAGGACGCAAAAGGTTACTTCACCCAGAAGTGGAGGAAGTACTGGTTTATCCTCAAGGAGTCCTGCCTCTACTGGTACACCAACCAAAATGTAAGGAATCACATTCACGTCAATATGTCCTGAATCTCATCGTTAAAGTCAAACTCTGCAACACCTTCCTGCACCTGCATTCTGTTTTTCGAACACACTTTTTTTACAAAACAATCTTGCAACTGAAACAGATATCAACAGCTTTATATATCTATAATTAAATATACTATTGAGTTGCATAATAGACATTGTAGGATCCAGTCACTTGGACTTACCCAGGTAATTGAATATTTTAGCCACTGCTGCTTACTTTTTATTGCATTTATTTTGTTCCCCAGCTTTTATAAAAGCGTTTATAAATAAAAATAAACATTAAACATAAAATAACAAGATTGCCAAGTCAACTGGTTAGATTCCAGCTACAGATTTGAGAAAGAAAAACACAAGTACACAATATAAATGTAGCAGTTCATTGTACATGTTGTTCATAATAGTTTTCACTGGTAACTGTTATAAAATAAATATAATAATGAGATCATTAGTCCAAACACATTTTTAAGGGTAACATTTAGAACCATTTTCATGTGTATGGAATTCATTCCGTGTTACTTTCATTGCTTTATTATGTAATATCACCGTTAACCCTTTTTCACTCTCAGCTTTTGTATTAGGGCTGCAAGCACAGATTATATTATTTACTTGACTGTAAACATGGAAAACATCTAATTCTCACATTTGTGAAAGAACCAACAATGTTTGCTTATTAATTGAATGTTGCAGCTCTGATTTAGATGTATCTTTCGTTGCAGTCTGTAGTAGTTTGACCTGATACAAGCAAGAAACTCACTGTTAAGACTTTAAGGTGTAGTTTGGATAACTAGATTAATAAACATATCTGCAAATTAGGAAGAAAACGACCTGAAAATGAATCGTACTGTAATGTGTTTCTATGCTCCAGTTTTAAAGCTTAGATAGTCAATTCTAATATATCCTCATGTTAAGTGGGGAAAGAAGCCAATACAAACAGCATATGTTGTTTTCATATGCTTGACTAGAGTACTGCTATCCAACATAAAAATGGGTACATCAGTATGTATGACATTTTGTTCTCTGTGTTGATAATGTACCACCACTCTCCATCTGTCTGTGCCTGCAGGATGAGAAGGCTGAGGGCTTCATCAGCCTCCCTGAGTTCAGAATAGACCGAGCCATAGAGTGCAGACGGAAATTGTGAGTGTCCCTCACATGTCGCCAAAATTACTAATCAACCACATTTGCTATCACCCACATGACATGCACGCACGCACACCTACCACGAAAATCACTAATCAGTCTTCTTCTCCCCCCGGCTGACTACAGTGCCTTCAAAGCCTGCCATCCCAAAATCAAGAGCTTCTTCTTCGCCACAGATTGTCTTGAAGAAATGAACAGGTGAGTGTGTCTGAGTGTGTGTTTGTGTCTTAATGTGGACGACAGTCAGAAGCTGGGGACGTCACGTGTCCTTTCATGAATATTTTAACTGAGTAAACCAAGTTTACACAAGGCAACAGCCCACACAGCACTGCGCATGAATAAGGCATGAACCCGGCCCTCTGTTGTTAAATGTAGAACTGTGTGTGTAATTGTTTGTGTCACGTGTGTGCTCGTGTGACATTTTGGAGATGTTTACGGTATGATGAGCTCTAATTATTCTCACCTCTCCTCAATGGCATGGGGCGATAATTGGGGGAGGGTCATTAACTAGCTATATTTGACTTCCATGCTGCGCTCGGAGGTTGATGTGTGACAGCCCTTTCATGTGCATTTGTACGTGTGATTAAGTGGGAGTTGATGGTATAGGCATCAGAAGAATCTCCATATATGTCTTGAATCAAGCTTACATCAGGATTTCTCAGCTTCTGGAGGCAATAACATCGGAGTGTTAGGCTAATATAGTGTTTGCAGCAGTTGCGATTGGAAATCCAAGCATACTTGGCCAATCAGCATCATTTGCTGCAGCAAGCTCCTACTTGATAGTCCCAGGGCCAATACTAATAATAGCATAAGAAGTACATTTACAGTCAAAACGCAGATTAAATACCTGAATTCCTACAGTATAAAGGTTCCTGGGAACGTTTTTGCAGTGAAAAGAGGTATAACTTGTGGTACAATATACCCAACGTATGCAGACAGATAATAAGAAACCATACTAAATAAAATGAAAGACAAAAGTGATTCCCAAAACTGATAAAGATATCCTAAACTCTGGATTGCGTCAAAACTTCTCAAACTGTACTAAAACAGGAGGAAATATGCATTTTATGGGGACTACTTTCAGCGATGGATTAATACACATTTGTTGTAGAACTGAGTATCTCTGGAAGCCGAGCTAACTGTGTATCTGGGATTATTTCAATGAAACTACAGTGCCTATGTTTATCTTCATGAAGGAATATTTTATGAGGCTCAAACCCCCTTGTTTTTCGTGCAAAAGTTGAGTTTAATGGCAGAAAGGAATAAGCTACATCCGTTTATTATTCATTGTTAGTTTTAGTCTTTTCATGGGACTTTGTGACAATAAGACACATTGTTATAAATGTGGAAGCTGCTTCCTGTATTATGCAAGTTTCCTGTTCCTTGTGCACGGACTCTGCGTCTATTCTTAGCAGCGACCTTATTATTGGGTGTCTGCAGAGAGTCACGGGACAAGCCGGGATCTGACGGAGGATGGATGTAGAAAGAGAACACCATCTGAGACTCTGCTGAGAGACGATAGGACAGAGGATTGTCACTTATCCTTTTCTGCATCCATCTCTCTAATTATCTCAATGCCTCTCTCTCCTCAGACAGTTATAAACCGTTCAGAGACACCACTTCAATTATTTAAAGTGAACGTTTTTTTGTATTCATCACCTACCACTTACCCAGTATAACCCATCCTTTTCTCTCCTCCTCTGTCACCTTTCTTCTCCTTCCTTCACACATCTCACATGTTTTCCTCTCCTTGTTTCCTATAGGTGGATGAACCGACTGGGGCTAGCTGCCATCGGCTACACACCAGATGACAAGGTGCCACGCCCAGATGAAGGTGAGATGGATTCACTTTCCTAGATCAAAAACGATTTTTGCCCGTCAATTGTAAACATTTGTGTTATTATCTCGATTTCAGACTACTGGAGTGAGAGCGATCAAGACGAGGTCGATGGCTCGATGACGCTCAAACAGGAGGGACCCTCATCCCTCTGTGACACATATCACCGCACGCCATCAGTAAGCACACAAACACACACACTCAACATTTTCTTTGCAGTGTTTCATTCGGATGGAATATTTTATTCCTAAAAGCCCCACAGTTTTCCGAGCTGCAAAGACCAGAGCTCTCAGCATTAATAAAACATCAGAGTGTGAGAGTAAGCAGCCAAGATTATCTGCTTTCTGCTGCCAGAATCTTTCTTAATCTGACCTCTAGATGGCGTCAATTGCCAACGCTCATCACATCTCTGAAAGATAATGTAGCCCTGAACAGGACTTGTACATAAAGAAGGTTCAGTGGTACCATGTTTCCACAGCTGAGCCATACAACAGTCATTCTGCCATCTCATTGCTTTTTTTGCTCTCATCTTTTGTTCTCTTTCTGCCCTTTATATTTCCTGTCCTTCTTTCTTCTCTCTTTCCTTGCACACCTCGTCACTCTCCTTGTTTTGCGGGTCACGTTTTTCCTTGTATCCGTGCTCACATTTCACCTTTCTGTCAACTTGTATCCTCCCACCTGTCTCACTCACCCTTGGGCCTTCAGAATAACTTCCTTCACGGTTACGACCAGTTGCCCCGCTCGGTCAGCTCCATGAGCCTTATGCGCTCCACTCCGTCCCCACTCCCTCCATCAATGAGTGCCTCCACCTCCCCCATCCCTCCACAGATGGTCTCTTCCACCTCCCCTCTCACTCTACAGGTGAACTCCTCAAGCCCCTTCCCAGAGCCCAAGCACGGGCGGCACTTCTCCAGCGAGTCAACGCACTCCCACTCCTCGGCCGAGGACCAGCGTGGAGATGGTATGGGCATGGGCACCGGCAGCACCAGCACCCACTCATCAGGATGCCGCTCCACCCACCGTGAGAGACGCTCCTGGCAGGACCTCATCGAGACCCCTCTGACCAGCTCAGGGCTGCACTTCCTCCAGACGTCCCCGGGGGAGAATGATTACGGGGGCCTGATGGGGAGCATGGCAGGAGATATGGGACTGTACGGAGGGCTGGGCAGACATGGCATGTCCCCCGAGAGACGCAGACAGGCCACGCTGCCCGTACGGAGACACCACGCCGCAGAGAGGGACAGGGAGCGGGACGGGCCCTTCCCTCTGGAGCGAGGGCCACACACACACAGCCACACACACCGACGCTCTCACAAGCAGCGCAGCCAGAGTCTGCCCAGGAACAGAGACCCCATGCCAGCTAAGCTGTTGCACACCCCGGCTCACATGGAGGAGAGGAGCGAGGACGAGGAGGCAGAGGAGCAGGCTGCAGATATACTCGAGGCTGAGAACGGTAAGGAAATGACACATAATCTGTTTTATACAAGGAGAGAAAACACTTGAGAATGCATGAAAAGGTCCCTATGGTCCTCAGAGAAAGTGGCTTTTAAGTAGCTAATGTGCCATAAATTATGATTTCCTTAATTCGAGATTATCATAGAATTTACAGTACTGCATATTAACTTTGTTGTAATATTAAGAAATCAGATGTAAGCAGGGTATGAGTTGAAAGCATAGACTGTATATATAAAGGTTGAAAGTGGAGCTGGCTAGGTTATATTACACAGGTTATTGAGAGGAAACACAGCATACATTTGTCAATACATACAATGCATTAATGCTAAGAAGGTTTAATTTAGTCCGTGTTAGAGGAAGTATTCAGATACTTCACTTAAGTATATTTGACAACACTGTAAAATACTCCATAGTATAAGTCCTATCAAAAGTAAAAGCAATTGTAACGCAGACAAAAGGCCCTTCACTTTTCTGGTGAACAAAGGAGAACTTTAGCTTTACTTCTTAATGGAATAACCCGAAATAAGCATGTGTATACCAATTACTCACCCTGTGTTACCTTGAATTTGTTAAGGAGAAGTTTTTTTAATCAAATGCCCCACGATGAACAAAGAATCTGAAAATGGAGAAAAGTCTTGACAAATGTAAGTAAATAGGAACCGCGCCACAACAACGAAAGTATATAAAATCTCCCTTTTTCAATCCCCTCACACAACTCGTGCAGTACAATCAAAGTCTCATTTATCCAGCCTCAAGCAAGGAACATACCATTTTAGATATTATTTGAAAGCAACTGTCCAAAATAACTTAATAGTCAGCTAACCACCAACATTGGGACATTTTAGTGGCTGAAAATATGAATATATATTATGAATATGAATATGAAGATCAATTATAAGGATAGTTGCAGTTACAGTTTTTGTCAATTATCCAATTAATTGATTATTTGAGCTCTATATTCACACACTTAATCCAACTGAAGCTCATTGTGTCATTATAGCAGTGAATCTGACTCCTCTCCTGGGTGTCTCAGACCTGCGGGAGTTGAGAGTTGAGAGCAGAGAGAGGAGGGTGTCTGAGGGAAGGGAGCGGCGGGTGTCAGAGTGCCGCGAGCCGGAGCCGTTGGATGGGCTAGAGCAGCTGTACCGGGCCCTGGAGCAAGCCAACGTGACGGCCCTAGGGGACTCAAGACCCTGTAGCAGGCAGGAGTTTCGACGTTGTTTCACACAGAGAGCCAGGGACCCTCTGCTCAACGACAGGCTGCACCGGGTCCGAGCCCTCCGCAGCACCTTGAAGGTAGCACAAACACAGATTATTACAATAGTGTCCCTCTGCAGAGCTCCATGCTTAGGCCAAACTCCGGTGCTGGGTCCCATCTCGCTTCTTAGCATACTAGTTTAATTGCAACTGTAGTATATTGCGCAGTAAATTGCTTTACCATGCTTATCCTTAATAAGTAAAGTAGTCTACAGAGCGTATATTGAGGCCATTGAATCGCACCAAGCCACACAACCTTAACTAAAAACCACAAAGAAAACTACAAACCAAATTTGTTATTAAGCAGGAAATAACTTGTACAAACCTTAAGCTAATGTTAGCTAGCTATGATGTCGTTAGCAAAAACGAACTAAAAAAAAATATATATAATGTATAAAATATGTCAGAATAACATTTTAAATCAACATCTTTGTATTGTGTTGCAGATATGCACTGAAGTTAGCATGCTAACTGACTACCCCTTGCCCTTCCTGTCTTGTAATACCACTTGTTCCTCTAAAGGCGATAGTGCCAACGTGAGTCACTGTAGTGCCAGTCAGTCCTCAAACAGAGGGAGAAGGAGTACAGCCGCTCCGATTGGCTGGTCAATAATTCACGTGGTCCGTGTCTTGTTTTTAGATTTGTTCTTTTAATTAATTTCAAACGTTGCCAACACACAATGCGTGACAATTATAAGATAGTATATTTTGAGGTGTAGTCAGTTTGAGCACTGGTGGAATTGTATTCTTGCCTTTCTGTTAGCTAGAAGCTAGGCTTTTTGTTAATAACAATACACTTTAAATGTATATTTTACAGGTGAAAATTATGCCTACTATTTCTTTGAATAAGTTGATTCAGAAATTAACATTGCACTTTTAATGTTAGTTTGCTTGCTGATTTAGCATAGTTGGCTAACATTCACAGTTTAAGAGCGGAATTAGCATTTTTAGCTAACGTTCAATTCATTAGGTCGGTAAGTTATTTCCTGCTTAACGTAACGTTACCTACTTTATAAGATAAAAACACAAGGTGGTATTGTTAACCTTAAACATATGCCATAATATCCTTATGATTGTTACCTGCGTACATGGTTTCTAGATGCTTAGTAACCAAAAGTGTTCAATGGAGCATGTGGCCTGAACCTGGGGCTTTGCAGCTAGACCCTTCTTGATTATTTGGGAATTTGCAGAATAATTACACTTGTAAGGATACAACTTTGTCACTCCTTGTTGTCTATTTGCTCCCCACAGGCCAAAGAGTCGGAGCTGGCAGTAATCTGTGCGCTACTGGAGGACCCTGGCCTGTGCTCCCAGACCTTCAGAGAGTGGAAGCAGTGGCACAGCGATCTCTACTCAGACATCTGCCAGCTCAGCCCCGGCGGCACCAACGGCCAGGACGACCTCTCCCCACTGGCCCCACCTCTTATGACCCACACACACTCCTTTATTGAGACACATGTGTGAAAGAGAGAAGGGGAGCAAAGACTGAACTGATACATACACACACACACACACACACACACACACACACACACACACACACACACACACACACACACACACACACACACTCACACACTCACACAAACACACACAGAGCTTTACATTGAGTCCTCTCTCCTGATCAAGACTCTGAGCACGCACTCACTCGAACACACACACACACACACACACACACACACACACACACACACACACACACACACACACACACACACACACACACACACACACACACACACACACACACACACACACACACACAGGTACACACATTGTAAGATGTGTAAATATCATAGAGGGAACAGTCTGAGACCTGCGTGTATGAACTTTTGATAATCCTGAGGACCCTCACAGGGTGCCTATTGCATGCCTGAACAGAAAGCATTAATCTTCCTTTGTCTATGGAACTCAGCATAAACACCACACGCTTGTCGAGCAAAATGGGAAAAAAAGGAAACTTTTTAACACGTTTGTTACTTTGTATTCTCTTGGTTTCGCTTTTTATTTCCTATTGATTTTAGGGGGCAGGGGGAGCTATGTAGCAGCAATACAGAGGAGAATCCTTTTCACCACAGCACTGTACTTTTGTACTGATGAACTTTGCACCCAGAGCCACCAGTTCTCCCCCTTTCTCTCTCAATCTTTTTTTTCTCTCACTGCATATCTCGCTGATTTACAGGGACCTCACTTGTTATTCCAGGCTGATCTGATGGGACAGTGCAGGGGAAAGTAAGGGCGTTGACTTTTAGTATGAGACTGTGAAAAGTAGCCATCAATGCTGGTTTATCTGGCTCCCTCTGGGAACCGGTGAAAACAAACGTTGAGGACCTATTGTACTGGCTAGTTGCACACTATTTTCAAACTGTGAACTGTTAAGAAAAAAAGACACAATTTTATCCGCAGAAGGAGGCTCCTCTGACTGAGTGCAATTGAACTTTTCAGTTTGCATCCTCTCTACCCGTCTTTTTTTATTTTCCTCTCTGTGTTTCTATCCGACACCTCCTCTTCATGTTTTTCTTTATTTCCTCTCTCTCTCTCTCTCTAGTCGTCAAAGACTTGTGTATATGTGTATACTGCTGTGTATACTGATGTAAATGTTTGCGTTCCACTACCACTGTGATATGCTTCTAGAGGTAGCGGAGGGAAGACAGAGAGTATGTATTTGCGTGGGTGCAAAACAATTTTCCTTTCTCTTTTTTTTCCTTTATTTTATTTCAAACAGCGAATGCAAGAGCTAGAGAGTTCTTTTCAAAGGAGTCACTCACTACAAAGAATGCACTTTCTATATCTCTATATCTCATTGGCTGCATCACAGGGTCTATGTCTCATCGGCCTCTTTACCATTGCTGTTCAAAATATCAGGTAAAAGCATTTGCCGTCTCATTTTCTAAAGATTTGTGTACAGTCTACAAATATATTTAAACATAGAAGAATATATAAATCTATTTACGTTTTGTGTCATAGATATAATGTAAAGTATGATGTATTCTATGCCAAGGTTTTGCAGTGTTCCCCTCTTCACTCTGTAGACGCAGGGTGGCAGAACAACAACACCACCATCATTGACAGTTTTTACATCGCGGCTGACCCTTCTCCTGGTGATGTGTTGCATGAGAAAAGTCCCGGGACTGATTTGATTGGACAGGGTAAAATATTGTGGATCATTTGTTTTTTTTCTCCCCTTTTTATCTTCCTCTCATGATTGCAAGATAATTAGACTTGTAGCGCATGATACATGCAAAAGTACTGTTGAAGAATGACCTTTTCTTCGTATGTATTCTTGTTTTTTCATTCGATAGTGTTTGAAGACACACACTGTACAATAGCTGAGGCAAGCATTTTTCTGCTCCTTGGTTACTTGATCTAATGCAGATCCTCCTTTAGCATCCTAACCAGGAGGCTCCTAATTTAAGGTTTTGTTTTACATAGAAAGACTGACACTAACCAATAGACTGCAGGAATCTTACCTGAGTTGAAACGAAAGCTATTTTGACATTCCCTCGAAGCATATGAAACTGAGCGGTCAAAGCCCTCCACACTAAATGGTCTGTAATGTCTGTAAGACCCAGATGAATCATTTCATCTGCAATATCAGGCCAAGGACTCAACGGTGCCCCCCAGTGTCGAAGACTCTGAGAGACATGCATAACACCTGCTGCATCCAGCACTATCTGTACTTATTCTTCATACTGTACTGTAGTTCTTTAGCGTAGGTTCAGGTTTTTCATCATGTCACACTGTCGTGAACTATCAAACTCACCCCAGAGATATAGCTCATGTTTTTTGAATGGTTAATTTGAGAGTACCACAAAGAAAACTAAATGATGCAAGCACTTTCCCTGTGCCTCCCAACCCTCTCTTTGGCAACGATGGACTGACTATACTGGCGACCCTACACACACACAGCTGGAGAAGAGTTACAAAACAGTTTCAGTCTGCAGATCTCTCTCAACTTCTCATCTGCAGTGGTTTTCTTTCATCAACCACTGCTCCACTTAGCAGGCGACACACTGTAGATTAGGAAGTGCAGGTTATGATTTGTGGGCACAGACTGTGTTGTTATTCCTCCCCAGATCTTTGTGTGTGTAGACATGCAGAAACAGGCCGAAAAGGGAGATTCCACTGTGTGTTCTTTCAGGGGTGTACACCTCATGGTACATTGCACAGGTGTGTAAGATGTAAGTTGCACTGCGACATTAAAAAAGGAACATATTGCTCTTTTTCAAGGATAATATTAGCTTACTGTTATTCTGTACATTAAACTGACTAAAGATGATATTAAAAAAGAAAGAAAATGACATTTATTCTTCCTAAAGTAGCCTTTTTTGGTTTCATATATATGAATATATATTACAAAAAATACAGATTGTAAACTTAAGTTGTTAAACTTTGACTTCAATAAACTGAATCCTCTGCACTACGAGCTATGATCTGTTTATGTGTACCTTTTCTTGGATTGATAGAGACAGCATTACAGTGTTTTATGTGCTTACGTAACCAAGAAGCAGATTTCCAATTAAAGTGTACGTAAAAATACGACAAGTAGGCCTACAAATGATTATCCATGTCCATATCTATATCCAAAATCTAGAAATGAATAATTGATATTTTCATAACAATTTGTTGTTTTTGTTAAAAAAAATTGTTAAGATTGTACTATTTTTTCTTTAGCAGCTAATTATGATTTACAACGTGATTAGGCATGTAAAGGGTTTGCATGTTAATTGATACATTTTGCACATTTTCTTTCTTTCTCCCCATATTTTCCCCTCTTGTGTGAGGTCATAGTGTGTTTCTATCTCACCTGCACATGTATTTTATTTCTATTTACTTTGTCTCTGCCTGGCCGTTTTGAAAAACAATGCACAAATAAAAGTTAAAACATATTTAAGTTGGTTCAACTCCCTAACAAATTAACAAGTTAATGAAAACCGTCAAGATTTCTGTGAACCAGAGGCTTATTAGAGTCCGTTGTGTCTGGGGGCCCTGTGAACCTGTTTTGCCTTGCCCATAATAAACCACTGCACATCATGTACAATTGCTTTACATGTGGAACTGCAGTGACAGTTTAATCCTTTAAAATGTCTTTTAAAAATGTTAATAAAAACGAAATGAGATATTTTGTGTTTTAATTACACAAAGATTTACAAAACAACATTGATTATACTGTTGTTGGTTTGAGAACACGGGCTGCAGGTGCCGCTGATGCCCGGCAGGAGTCAGTAGTACCCGGGCTTTGGATCTGCGTCTCTCTCAGCCTGCAGAAGAAGGAGGATCGCTGTCATGGCGGCCAAGGTGAATGCTTGACATTTTCCTCTTCGTCAAAGTATATTTTGTAAAGAATGAGCGTGTGTGGGGTTAACGTTAACTGACCCGGAGTCGTTAACGCAACCTTGAACAGAGTGTCACTTTAAAACCTTTAACACTGCGCTGCATGGACACATTGTTGCTAACTGTGCTAGCCTCGCTGAATGAGTCAATGCTAACTAGACTGCGTTTACTAACGTTAGCAGACAGCAGTTTGAGCAGTACTCACACTATTTATATTACCTATGCATGCGTTACATCTAATATGTGTCAGCCGTGACGTTGTCTGCAATATAGACGGTTTTGACCAAGCAAAGGAAACATTACAATTACGTCAGCTAGTAGGAGGCAGTTGTAAGTTATCAGTGTTGTAAAGTACAATTTACTCAAGGACTGTACTTAAGTACAAGTTTGAGAGACTTGAGTATGAGTATTTCAATTTGTTGCTACTCTGTACACTGCAATTATGTAATACCTTTAGTTACTTTGCAGATGAATGATGTGAAATCAACAACACTTAACCTTTAAAGAAACTGTGTCCTTGTGATAAACACATGAATGCATCAATAATTATAAATAAACATATCGTTCATATTAAACTAAAATGGGACAGTTTGCATAATGAGTCTTTTACTTTTGGTACTTGAAGTATATTTTGATGCCAGTAATTTCTTACTTTTACATGATTATAATTTTTATTTCAGGACTTTTACTTTTAAAAGGTACAAAGGTACAAAATCTAAGTACTTTAAGTTAACCGACTGGTCCCCGACCAGACCTAAATATGGAGTGTGGACTTCTACTTGGAGAGGTCCCAGTTCACCTCCTGCCCTGCCGTGGTGCCCTTGAGCAAGGCACCGGACACCCCCCTTCCCCCCCACTCCCATTGCTCCCCGGGCGCTGTACAATAGCTGCCCACTGCTCCTAGTACTAGACTCCTTGTACTAGGATGGGTTAAAAGCAGAGGCCAAATTTCACTGTGTGTGCTGTGTGCTCTGCATGTGTGACCATTAAAGAGGGTTTCATCCCTCCCTATTCTATTCTTCTATTCTATTAACCTAACTCTGACGCTTCAAAAGTAATAGTCCTAAACTAGCAAATGTGTGGTTTAGCTATTTTTTTACACATGTTGATCATTTCTCCCACTGGTCCATCAGTGATTTGTGTCTGCCTGTTGTTTGTGTTACTGTGTGGTGAAATATTTTAAGGTACGCTGTAAACTTTCATTGTTTCCTAGGTGGTGATGCTGGCCGTCCCGACGGTGATGGGCATAGCCTCCATCCGTGTGTATACTGTAAGCGAAGCGCCCACTGATGGACTGCTTACTCGAGAAAAGGTATGCTTTTCTAAAAATAATCAGATGATTTGATATGAGAGAGCTAAACTGTTGAAATTCACATCTAAATACTGACTCTCCCTCTGTCCCCAGCTGAACATCTACACCCCGCTGCCAATGTCTGCTCAGGCCCTGTTTGTCCCAGAGACTCCCGGTGTTATACAGAATGGGTTAACTACAGCCAGACAGGGCATACGACCCTTTGTCCAGGCTGTGAAGGTATTTCCATTTTCTTGTGTACACCTACAGCCATTTTGAGAACCTATTAATATTCCCACACAACACCTGCTGCTGAATGAACACATACTTTCACATCCTGTCTAACACTCAACACCCCACAAAAGAACAACCCTTTGACGTATGTAAATAAGTGTTTTATAAAGGGCAAAACTAGAATACTTTGCAAAAGGCCTTATCTTGCATCTGCAGTGTTAGTCTCCTGATTTTCGCTCCTCTTGTGGTTACACAGCTCACTCTCACATGCTGCGAGGGCTCAGTGCACGTATGACTCTGTACTGTAGTGTGTGTGCAGTTAATTCAGCAGCTGCAAGTTCTGCTGCGAAGAGATCTGGCAGTTTGATTCTGTGGAAGATGGGGAAAAAACGCTTCAGACTGATTCAGATGTAGTTTTGTTCTTCATGTCCTGTTGTAGCGATTTATTTTTCCTTTGTTCCCTGCAGGGTGCCTGCATCTCTGTGAAAACAAGAAGTGTAAATCTATACCATAAAGGAGAGGGTGAGTCAACAGGAGGAACCTTAAGGTGTCATATATGATATATATGAAATAATATTCTCCCTTTGTTAGGAAAATATCACTCGACACCAGGTTGAGAAACAATAATCAGGTACTAATTTATTCTTGCAAGAAGGAGCAGAGTTAAATCACATACAAAGGATATGGTTGAACTCGCACACATGGGGTATGTTGCTCAACGGAGCAGGAAAAAACATCAGGCTTATATAGTCCAAAATACAGGAGATAACAACAAAGTCGTAAATCGAGGTGGCGCTAATATCAGCCGCGGGTGTCGGAAAAGCGTCGGGTCATCTGCGATGGGTCATCTGTGACGTCTTCTGGACTTCCTTCACGCCTCATAGAAATTAGATATGTAGGAGACAACAAGTATGTGTCTGTCTCCTCATAAAGATCAACAACCTGAAATGCCCTGCCTCCTCCTATCATAAAGAGGCAGCTGCAAGGTCGTACACAGTTCAGAATCACGCATGATATCAGTGCATTCAAACAAACCCAAAGAGGAGACAACAGTATTTTCTCCAACACCCTTCCTGAAACTTGAAACATTACTTTTAGTGCCCTTAACTCATGTATTGTTCTGACGCCCTTAGAAAACAAATCCCACATTTTTAACTAACTATTTATGGCCTCATTAAATCAAATCTTTATTAATTGATGTTACAGTACATAATGTTACTATTTATAATCACACACAGCTTACTGTGAATATATTATATTAAATAGTATTATAATATATTATATTTCTTTATTTTATATTTTATTATATTATGGTTATAATGTACACAGGTTTTTTTTTACTTTAATTTCTTAAAAGATTTCTATTCTGGTTTATTTTATTTTTCTGTTGCACATTTTGACTTTAACTTCTTATCTTCATATACATTTTTATTACATTTTTTATATATAATATGTATATATTTTATATATATCATTCCTAAATGTAGCAACTGTCACAAAACCCAATGTCCCAATGTTCTGAAGTATATAATGACAGTATGAGCAGGAAATCAGACAGGCGTTCAGAATTGTGAAATGTAGGGAATTTTTATCCCCATGCTTACTGTCTTCTGTGTCTCCCAGATGCGTACTATTATTTGAAAGACCCTCCCCCGGAGCTTCTTCCCAGATTTGGCACCATCACCATGGCCGGCGTGCTTGGCATGTTCTTGGCACGGAAAGGTAATCCAACCCAGAGTGACTCTCAGGGATACTTAGAGCCTTCTGGGAACCATTGTTATGAAATCAATAAATCTGTCACTGAAATATGACATATAATTAACCAACCACAGTTACCACATTTCTTTCCTTTTATAGGCAAACGTGTGATATATTTATGTTTACATTTGTACACTGATTAACTGGGAAACAACACATTAATCTGTAATACTTTTTTTCACAGGAAATATATTCTGTTATTATGTAGCATTGATATAACTGTTGTATTTGAAACAGACTATTTGACATGAATAAAAACAGATCTCTGCCTTGCATTATAGTAGTTGTATGCAAGCTTAATGCCTCTTAGCTTAGAATGAAATGTTCCCCATGCAGCTGTGGTAATGTAACAGATGTACATAACAAATCATCAAAATGAGCCACCATGCCACCCTGAATACGGACGGGTGAACCTAAGATTTTAGAAATAATTCATACCTTCTTTATTTTGCTTACAAGTCTCGGATTTAATCTCAATCAATTGGAGAAAACACAACAGCTCTTTCATACAGCAGGTGCATCCATGACACAGTCTTTACTGGATGCACATTGACCTTTGGTTGACTCGGCAGTTGTCAACGATTATCAGCGTTCACACACCACAATGTTTACACACTTTAATGTTCAAAAAGATCTTTATTTTTCTCATACTGCCTGTGCTGCAGCACCTCTTTTCACCCTCTGTCTGAAACCAGAGCCCAGTCTGCTCTGATTGGTTAGCTGGCTGGTTCTGTTGTGGTTGGTCAACTGCTTAGATACTTCCCGCCCCTTAGCCTATCGCGTACTATTTGTTGGAGCGCTAGCAAATAGAAGAGCAAGTGGTATAGTGATGTCACTAGTGAGTCCAATGGAGGCGATTCAGGCAGTGTGTGGGAGAGACACTTCCTCTGGATTATGGCCTCTGCAGACCATTTACATGCACACAAACCTATATAACGCACTACAGGAAAGGGAAAACCCAGAAAGCCTAATAGGGCCCTTATAAGGCCGTACTTTAAATTACGTTTTTCCATGTGTTCAGTGACATTGATTGTAATCGTTAACTGTATTTCAGGCTCTCAACTCAAGAGGGTAGCCGTTCCTCTGGGTCTGATGACTGCCGGAGCCTCAGTGTGTTACCCCGCTCAAACTGTGGCTGTTTTTAAGGTAACATTATTGAGTCTCATGCGCTGACCGCCAAATGGCATTAAAAAAGCAAATTGTTATCAAGTTCAATTCAATTTATTGTCTTTTTGCTCCCAAGATCACGGGTAAGAAGGTATATTCTGCGGGTCAGTGGACCGGCGGCTCGGTGTCTTCACTGTTCGCATCCAAGCCCCCCCCGGAGCCGGTCGCCCAGGAGATTGCTGCTTCACAACCACAGGTCAGCAGTGATAATGAGATACTACACAGGTTTTTTTACTGAATATCATATATAGATGTAACCAGGGGTTCAATTGGGATTTGATATGTGGGGGGGCTCTGTGTGGAGGGGGGGGGGGGTCGGTCAAGGATCTCATTATTTGACTTTAAGGGCTATACTGTATATGAGGCCCTAAAGCAACTGCTCCATTATCTGTATCAAAGATGCGGGCTGCATCTCCTGATCGGAGCAGAGACACACGTTCACTAAGCCAAAAAACTATATCCGGTCACAGAGATCTGCTATTTTAAAGTACAGTCAACACATATGGACCCTAAATATAGTCTATATTAAGAACGATAAAAGTTTTGTGCGAGGGTGATGACGTCAGATGTGCGAGGGTGATGACGTCAGAGCATCGTCCTATGTGCCGGGGCTTAGCCCCGGACAGCCCCGGCCCAATTTAGCCCCGGCCCAATTTAACCCCTGGATGTAACCAGATATATTAAAATAGCAAGTTCTGTAAAGCTGTTTTACTGTGTGTGACTAAAACCAAAACCATTTAATGGTAATTCCCCATCTACTGAATGATTTCCGCTTTGCTCTTCTTAACTTTCTCGGAAAATCCCTCATGCTGCTCAAAACGATGCATTTCCTCTCTCAGCACTTTGCCATTTTATGATGGTTTGTGATAAAGAAATAAAACGTATACTGCTGTTCAAATTAATGTAAGTCAATCCCTACCCTAGTGTCAGCTACATTTTTATTTGAAATGCTTATGTATGCAGTTTTTCATCTCTGGTCACTTAATAAATCTAACCTATAATTAGAAGTGAAATGTTGAAGGAAACTCTAAATCCAGTGCCTTATTCTGTTCATAGTTTAACTGTGTTTCTGTCAGTTAAATCCAGTTTGAGTGTGAATCAAATTAAGAAATTCATATGACTCATGTTGTTATCATTAATCAATGCATGTCTTGGTGAAACAGATTTGAATGATTGGTCTTTATCCACATTTTAGACAACTACAGTGCCCAATCCAGAGTCTGCAGCCCGCAGCTCTCTGATGCCAGAGTCAGAAGTGGAGTCAGCGGAGTCGCTTCCTCTCTCTGATGAGCCCGCTGTTGCTGTCATCTCAGAGCAGGCGTCATCCGTAACACTCACAGAGATTTCCCCCGACCAGACCCCCGCAGAGACCAACCCAGGTACCGTAGATATTGATCTCTGTCTGCCTGTTTCTCTGTCGACATTGCTTCACACTCAATTACACTCAGGCTTCTACTGATGGTTTGCTGTGTATCCTCTCCTCTCCAGATCCAGTAGTGCATTCAGTGGCAGCAGAGACAGAGGTCACCTCAACCTCTGAGGAAACACCTGCACCTGTTGAAAGTGAGGACGCAAAACAAGCAGCAAAGGAGGTCTCCACTGCCGAGCCCACGGCAAGTTTAGAACCGGAGACGGTGGAGGCTGCTCCTTTAGAGGCTTCTCTGGTGGAGGATGCTCCAGTGGAAGATGCTCCGGTGGAGGATGCTCCAGTGGAAGATGCTCCAGTGGAAGGTACCGCAGTGGAGGCAGCTCCAGTACAGGTTGCTGAAGTAGAAGCCGCTCCTTTGGAGGCTGCTCTTGAAGAGGCTGTTCCTGTCGAGGTTGCTCCGGTAGAAGCTGCTCCAGTAGATGCTGCTCCAGTAGATGCTGTTCCAGTAGAAGCTGTTCCAGTAGAAGCTGTTCCAGTAGAAGCTGTTCCAGTAGAAGCTGCTCCAGTAGAAGCTGCTCCAGTAGAAGCTGCTCCAGTAGAAGCTGCTCCAGTAGAAGCTGCTCCAGTAGCAGTACCTGAAGTAATAACTGCTCCAGTAGAAGCTGTCGCAGCTGAATCTGTCCGTTCTTCTGAAGAACCACCCGCTCCAATTGCCTTAGATGACCCAGCAGGTACCAACCAGAACATTCACCAATTTGTTGTAAACTTCCAAGAGTTTGCAGAGAACTTTCTAAAAGTGATTACTATAAATCAAGTATGAAGTCACAGTAGCTTAGTGGCATAAAGGTGGAACACATCAGTTCATGTCCCTGCTACTAACCTTTGTTGTTTATTGACTTATTTGCAGTGCCAGTTCTGGAATCAGCTGAGCCCGAACTCGCTGCTGAACCAGAGTTGGCCAACGCAACAGAAGCTGCTGCTGTAGAGGAGACACTCACACCAACACCTCCTCAGCATGAAGTAGAGAACAGCAAAGGTACTGTGAACACACTGCACCACTGCTTGTTTGAACGTTGGGCATCAAATCAAATGTTGTTAATATAGCTCAATATCCCAAAGTACACATTTGTCTCTGGGGGCTTAACCAGGAGTACAGATCCATAAAACATGAAGGACAGAAAACATAAAATAACAACATAGATAATCCAAATGACTAAAAAGATCATGTAAACGTAAATAATTAAAGGGTAAAGAAGGATGGTCATGATAAACTTGAGCCAGCCCTGACAATAAGTGTTATCGAAAAAGAATGTCTTAGCATGCAAATGTGGAGAGGGTGTCCGCCTGAACACAACTTGGAGCTGGTTCCACAGGAGAGGAGCTTAATAGCGGAAGGCTGTGGTTATTAAACTTTGAACTACCTTACTCAAACATATAGACTCACACACACACAGCTTCTCTTCTGAGAGTTACCTGAACTGAAGTCCCATCATCTCTTGGGTCTTGACATGTGATCATGCTATTGTCTCGTAAATTTGAAATACAATTTTTTTTTAAAAACCATCATGTTCAACATATTGAGGCCAACAAATATACCTTGAAGTATCTGATGTAATGCTATCAAGGTCACTCTTTGGGCCTTTGCAGTTTATTACTTAAAAAAAGCCCTGGACATGACGAGACGGCCAGTATATTTGAAGCGTGTATTCCTTAGAGACATTCACATGCTGCACAGCTCGTTTCTTTGCATGTCTATTTTTTGAGTATTTTACTATTAAAATAATTAGATCCCATTGCTGGCTGCAGAGGATTGTTTGCGTAAGAAAAACATGTCAGATTCCTCCAGAGCATTGTAAAGTCAAAATGCATTGTAAAAAGTTGGATTCGATCTTTTCATGAGATGTTCTCATATTCAGACAAACTGACTTAAATCTTTGTTAGTTGGCATTTAGCCTCCCGTTCACTCTGCCAGTTGCTGTGCAGAAAGGGACAAATGTTAATAACGTTTATAAAACAATCGTTCTATTTTACTTGAGTTTTCCCTTCTTTTGAGTGTCAGAAATGGTGAAAAGACAGACATTTGAAGCTTTAGTGAGAAACTTATTAGAAGTTATGAATGTAAACAAATATATATATGTATATGTATATGTATATGTATATGTATATATATATATATATTTGTTTGTATATATGTATATGTATATATACATATACATATACATATATATGTATATATACATATATACATATATACATATATATATATGTATATATGTATATATGTATATGTATATGTATATGTATATATATGTATGTATGTATATATATATATATATATATATATATATATATATATATATATACACAAACAATGAGGTATAGCCCTAGCACTTTAGATTAGAAAAACTTCAAGGAGAATATGTCTGTATGATAATACTACTTCACTCATTTGTGTGATCACAGAAAGACACTGTGGCTTATTTTCCTAATTTTTTGGGTAATGTAGTCGTTTCATTTGATTCTACTGATTATTTTTTTGTCAGCCTGAACCAGTTTATACATTAAATGTAAACATCTAATATTTCTGTGCTTGTGACTGATATTTTGTTGCATTTCTGCTGCTGTCCTCCAGGGGGCTCCAGCTTCAAGCCAGACCCTTCTCTATTGGACTTTGGCCAGTCCAGCCCGGAGGATGACGACCTGTACTCGACACGCACCTGAGAGACAGCCGGAGAAAGCTCGATATCACACACTGCCATCTCATTCAGATTAACAGACTCTGTATCATTATGCATTATGTAAATAGGCCATTTTGCAAGCAAGCAGAGTTAGGAAGTGGTTATCGTTTCCTTCCTTATTTCTCTGGGCTACATAAATACATACTTTATTATTGCCACCCAAAATAATGTATATTTCCACAGAAAGGTCAGAGTACTTGTGATTTACAGCAGCAAAGAAGCAGTTCCTGTATACGGAACTGAGTCGATTTGCATAGAAGGAGAGAAGCATGGAAAAAATACACCCACGTTAAGTCTATTCATCCACAGATGGCAGATTGTGTTTCTCTCAGTATGTGTCATTTAACAATTATTGGCTTTTGTGCGACAGCTTTTACAATCACGAGTGTCACGGTGTTTTATTTATTGTAATTTAGCCCACTGCATTGGTATGCCGGAAACACTGCACGTGTGCTGGTGATGATTACAGAGGGACGTTTGCTGTTCATTTTCTTACATCAAAAAATGTCTTCAGTTGTTAAAAACCAAAAATAAATCTATATTTTCATGATTTGATGTTGTGCTTTATCCACTGCTACACATCTACTTGTCAATATAAGTTAGTTTTGTTATTTATTGTCCTGCACAAACTGACAAACATCCAGATACAGTGTTGAATCATGTCAGAAACACATTACTTTTTCTTTTCATACACAAATATAATCGGAAACAGAAAAGGTGCATTCCTACAATAATCTCCTTTACCCTCACCATATTTTTTTAATTATCCAACCCCTCAAAATAAAATTACCTACTAAATTAAAGATATTTTCAAGTTAAAGTATCTCTTAAATTATCAATAAACAGTTTGACAAGAGATCAATCCTTAAATCACACTAACAAAACTTGACTTCCCGCTTGATTCTGCCGCTAATGCTAACCACAACTTCATACACATCATATTTGACCTTTGGTGAAGTTCTGCTTCACATAAGGTTTTTTAATCTGTTTTATTTCACTTTATTTTATGTTTAAAAAAAAGGGTTAATACCCAAATATTTACAACATTTTGCATTCATCTCAACCTCAGCCTAGACTCGTTTGTGTTTAGTGCAAGTAGCCAATGTTAGCATGCTAACACTAAACTGAACACTGTAAACACAATACCTACTTAACAATAGCATGTTAGCATTGTGAGCATGTTTGCTTATGTTAGCATTTAGCTAAAAAGCACCACCATAGCCTCTCAGTTTTGCAACATTATGATGCGCTACAGTTCACTCCTTGGGTAGAACTAAGTTATGCCAAGTTAGAAAGTGCGTCATGAGAACTGTTTCATTGGGCAGTGAAGTACAAATTGTGAAACTGCTTGGAAGGCTGATGCCAAGGGATACAGTCATTGTTTCCTGAAACAAAAGCTAGGACATTGAAATCATTAAAGTTCACTTCTACATCAGTACAGTTCAAAATGATAAATCATGAACATTCACAGACTTATGTAATGAAAGCTGGGAATGCTATTCTTTAAAGCATTTCTCCATTCAACTCACAGTTTGTAGTGCTGGACAGTGATACAGTATCTGTTTACATCTTTATAGCTTCTTTACTGCTCCTCAGAGGAACCGGAGCTCCCTGCCTGAACCTCATAAACTCTGCATGAGGTCTCCAGAGTCATGACCCTGGGAATTCTTTGTGTGTGTGTGTGTGTGTGTGTGTGTGTGTGTGTGTGTGTGTGTGTGTGTGTGTGTGTGTGTGTGTGTGTGTGTGTGTGTGTGTGAGAGAGAGTACACGCTCGCTCACATATGTGTAAAAGAGGAAAGAGAAAAAGGAGATGTCCGATCAATTACATGTCGATACTTTCTCATCCTCCTTCCTGTTATACATGGGAGAGAAACGCATAATGGTAACCAGGCTTCCTGTGGCATTGCATACCGCTTGTGCTTTGTGTTAAGGGTTTATGGGACTTGTGAGTTTTTTTAAACAAAATATTTGAAAAAAACCACTCCAGAAACAATTCTGTGTCCTGGCATTAATAAGGCCATATGGAACATATTGACTCGAAATAGAACCGAGAAGACAGAGTGGGAAATCTGTGAAACGCTTTCTTCTCTCATGGACATCTTGTTGCTATAAGCATAGGGGCCAGTGTTAGAGGCAGGATCTGATGCTAATTATATCATCTCACCTCTCTCAGGGGTCCCACTGCACACATGGGCCCCCCTTTCCCTTCCTTACAGTGTCCCACACAAGCAGCAGCTATGATTATGTTCTGAGAACAAATGTTTGACTGGACTCTGTCATGTAGTCCAGAGCTCTCAGATTTGTCTCCACCAGCGGAGAGGAAGCAGGGCTCACAACCTCGAGCTCTCACCTTTCACCCCCCCATGAGCCAGATTTCCCACATGGGACTTTGCGACAGTGTGCGGTGTTAATCTTCCCAGGATCCGGCCAGCGAGGAAGACCCCCACTCTCAAATAAACAAATAGCGCATTTATCAGCAAAACACATAAACATTGCTACTGTGTTAGCAATTTAAGGGTGGAATATTGTAGCCTATATGTTTACTTGTGCATGTCATCTTTTGCTTTATTTGTAGGGGTCAGTGTGTGTACACAGTCATGTGTGCGCATGATCTTTTGCACACAGCTTCTGATCTTTTTTCTCATGCATGGAGATAAAATCACATGTTGGCAGTTCATTCTGTGCAGCGGAAACAGTGTGCACACACACATATCATTTCATCTTGTGTTGGTTTGCAGACAGCTGTAACTTATTTGCAGCATAACACACAGATATAAAATTATTATATAAATCGTGTTACTCAGAGCAGAAGCAAGAGAAAGAAACTTTTGACAAACTTGAGTAACCCAAAACAAATCCAAGTCAAGCTTTTGAACCAGGAAAAAAGAAAAAGTGAAGAAATAATTGGCTGTTAGATTGATGTCCGGTCAGGGTAGTGATGTAAGTTGAGATTTGATGCTCTCTGCTCCATTGCTCTCCTTATCTGCTGCCTGTACGGACACTGCCTTTTGGATGATCAGACAAAACCTCACAGACACACACTCCCACACATGCTCAGGCTGTTAAGCACTTAGCCTGAATCCGTGCAAATAATGTAATACAAAAAGACAAGACTGAATATTGAGAAACTGTTAACACTTTTTTTGGCATTGTTCTCGCTCTAAGATTGGCGAGATCTTTAAATGTGTCATGATTATATCTTTATAGACGTATATGTTTTGGAAAATGTTGTGTTTTTCTTTCTCCTTGAAACCTAAGAATGGGAGACGTCCTTTTTATTGTGCCAAAATAATGTTTTCACAGATGTTAACAATAAGAAAAAGGTATTCTAGTTGTTTTCGTTGTAATGTCAGGCAATATTTTGAAACACTTAAATATATAACGTGTTATATTCTTCCACTGAATCTGTATTATGCACATTTGATCAAAAGAGAATTCTGCACCCAAACAAGAAAAGTAAACATGTTTTTACATACCATGAATGCCATAAAAAGTGAAACATATATGACATGTGCACTACAGACCAAGTCAATTGATTGTCTGAAGGTAGGATAAAGGGAGATTGTTCCTTCAAAGTTTGTCAAAGGTCAAAGAATGTCAAACAGAAGCCAATATGAGATAAAACAAGTGAAAGTAAGGTCAACTAAGATCTATGTGTCTAAAGAGCAGTACGCAATCTTTATTTAAATGTTTTACTCTGGAGGGTTATACATGTATCAGTGGTGGAAGAAGTGCTATCCTCCTTTATTTCAGAAGTTAGGTAGTTAATAGTAATAATTAACAATATGATAAAAAGAAATGTAATCTCTAATTGATATGTATTTGAATAAAATACTTAATGTGTCTTCTGTCACGCTAGCAGCTCTGTGAGGCTGTGCTGCTAAAACTAGCGTGATAACATGCTCATGGCTGATGTTAAAGAAAAGTAGGTAATGTTAACTATATTTCTACTATCTTAGCTTATCTTGTTAGTATGCTAGCAATAGCCTAATAACTATTTCATCTGATGTAGGGAATTTCATTTGTTTTCCAAGTAGTTTTAAGTATGTATTATTGTATTATCCAGGTACTTATTATAGTAAAGTATTCTTTGAATTGTGTCCTTGCTGCTAGCATAACTTAAATGTTACTTCAGTAACTTGAAAGTAGGCAAGTATCATCTTATCACCAATACACTTAATGTGGAACTAACCATGCAGAATAGCTTCTCAGAGTGGTTTATTGTTATAGTTATTAAATAACGCGATTACTATCCTTGTACATGTGTATGTTAACAAGATACAAGGTGTAGCACAGGGAGGTTGCTGCTGTTATTTGGTTGTTGGGTCGCTCCTTGATGGGGCATCATGTTTTATAAACAGCATGTTTTTAAAAAGTACACATTTTCCCTCTGAAACTTGGTGGAGTTGACCCATGAAGTAGCAGTACACTCCAGTGAATGTGCTTTCCATCGTTACATAAGAGAGGAACTGCTGGGAGACATATTTCAGATTGTTTCTGTTAACTTCTATATTTCTGTTGGCCACCATACATTTCAGTTTTTAGTTGTTCCATGTTATTATGACTAAGGGCTCTTGGCTTCTCTGTGTGTATCTGTGCGAACAACTACACATACCCAGCATGCCACTGTAAGAACACTGCATTATTAAGTTTCCGTTTTGGAAAGCCTAGTCGTCACATTCTGTGCCATACTGCGAACACTCAATTTTTCATATCCTCCAAGAAGGCAACTACGGAGATCTCCATTTGCGGCCTTCGAAATCTCGCCTTCATCCGTCATCCTCACCGTCAGCTTCCCACGGCTATTAGAACATGTCACATCCTGATAGATACTCAATGGAGCAGAGTGCACACATGCATCGCAACACGCATGTAAACAGCGGCGGGCGCATTGCGTCGATGCGTGAATGCCAGGCTAAGATTAAGTACATCCAGTTGCACAAGTATTGAAGCATAGATGCACACGTGCACGTGTTACACGCACGTGCACACACGGGGAGATGTACGCTCACACTGTTGATCAAAGGAGTTGTGATGTAATCAGTCTCAGAGCTTTGCGAAGCATCCCTCATTAACTTTCACCAGAGGCTTTAATGAAAAACCACTGGAGGGAATCTCCACTTTCTCTCCTTTTCTCACTCCTCTTTCTCCCTCTCTTCCCTTCTCATCTCCTTGTTCACTCCCTGCAGTATCTGCTCGTCCTCCTCCTCATTCATCTTCCAAACTGTGCCTCCCCCCCTCTGCCCCAGTGGCTGGCTTGACTTCCGCTGAGACAGAGTAAATATTTCCCATGGCTTATCTGACCGCTGGCAGGACGAATATGACACGAAGTGCGAGGCTCTGCTAATTAACACACAGCCTCCGTTCCACGGGTCAGAGGCCTCTGCAGGGACAGTGAGGGGCTTTAAGTTTGTCACCCCGAACACACTGGTGTCCTATTAATTATGGTCAGGTACGACACACGAGCATGAGTCTGCAGTGACCGGAGACGCAGCAGTTACACAAACACATCTTGACTTGATTTTCTTAGTTTGCTTGTAAATAATCTGGGAGGGAGGAAAAGAACAGAGAGCATGATTTTGTAATGTTCTCCCTCTCTGCAGGCTGGCTTGTGTCCAGGTACAGTCCAGCCCCTTGGTAATGATGAAGGTGTGACGTGTAAGCAACTTCGCTGTTGTGCAACCATCAAGAGACTCTTGGGGGCTATAAGACCCCCAACCTCATCTGGTTTCTCAGAGACACACACACACACACACACACACAGACACAGAGGCATGATATGGTCCGGGTATTCAGCTGCGCAGATTTCTCTTAGAGAGGTTGAGGAGTATTTGTCAAGACATGGACTTTAGTCAAAAGAGGAATTGAAAACCGCTTCACTGCTTGGACTGGATGCTCAATCACTCACAGGTAACATGACTTCTTTAAATACATCGAGTATGATTGGATTTGATAAAACCTTAATTTGTATTTGATAATACATCTTTGAGTTTATTTCCCTTAGTCCAAGTGTCTTAACATAATTACCAGTTGTTGTTTTGTTATTGGAGAAAGTCATTTAATTATGCAATCCCCTTATTTTACTGCACTTTAAACACTGTGTTGTTATTTCTTGTTATTATTAATGCCTTCCTCTGGTGCAGCAGACCGTATTAGGATCAGTTTCAGTGGCTTTTAAGATTCCTGTAAGCCTATTAAATCCCAAATTAAGATGCAACTTTCTTCATGAATGTTCCATGAACTTTCAGTCATTAATACAAAATGACTGTTTCTGAGGATGCCATTAATCCAGCAGATTAATTCAACCCCTCCATATGTATTTCATTACTGCCCAACTTCAGGAGTGGTGTAATGTATTTTCACTGTGATTAGTTATCAAGTCGGACAGCTAATAAACACTGGGGAGCCAACTTAAAATGACTGTGTCTTACTGTGTCCATAAAAGGCGAATGGATTTTGAATACCCTCTGTTTTTGTCTTATTTCCAGCTGACCTTGGTCAAATAAAAGGGGAAAGTGGAATTTTTACGACGCATCCAGTTCAATGATGGCATTGCCAAATGACATCACCCTTTTCAACTCCACCTCGTCCCCCTTGACGACAGAGATCTATCTGAACATCTCTGTAGCCCCCTCGGCCCCCTCCTGCACAGACTGGCCTGCTGTACCCATGACTACGATAATCCCCGCCATCTATAGCATCATCTGTGTGCTGGGCATCGTAGGCAACACCCTGGCAGTTTGGGTGTTGGCCCATTCCAGCACCTCAAGGAGAACTGTGGCTAACACCTTCATGCTGAACCTGTGTGTGTCCGACCTGCTGTTCCTGCTGTCCCTCCCCCTGTGGGCCGTCTACTATTCCCATGGCTACAACTGGACTTTTGGCCGCGCTGCCTGCAAAGTGTGTGGAGCTCTCCTCCACCTCAACCTCTACGCGTCCATCTTCTTCATCACGTCCATGAGCGTGGACCGCTACCTTGCTATTGTGCGTCCGCTGCGCTCCCAGAGTTCACGGTACCCCAAACGTGCTCGGTTCACATGCATCGTGGTGTGGGTGCTTGCGTGTGCTTGCTCAGCCCCCAACTTGTATCTGAGGGACACTATCTACCAGGTTGAGCTTGGTGTGGAGGTCTGTGGGATTAAATATCCTGATCGGTCCTGGGACCTGACTCTGACCTGGATGAAGATTGCTTTGGCCTTTCTCCTGCCGCTGTTAGTCATTTCTTGCTGTTACTGGGCGATTGGCAGGCATCTGTTGGCTGATACGGGGCTGGGAAGAATGCGGACAACATCGCAGCCCTCCAACATGCCCTCTTTTATATCCCTGGAGTCCAAGGATAACTGCATTAAACCAGAGAGACCCCCGACCCCTTGTGTGAGTCCCAGCTCAAGCGGGGTCAGACCCCTGGAGGGCAGGGGGCTGGAGCGGGTGTTGTGGACAGTAGCTTCGGTGGTCCTGGCCTTCTTCATCTGCTGGTTCCCCTTCCACTGCGTGACCTTCTTAGAATTGCTGAGGAGCGAGGGCTGGTTGAACGGCTGCTTGGTGAATTGGACAACCCAAAACCTCACCCCCCTCACCCTCTGCATGGGATTCTCCAACTCGGCCATAAACCCTGTGCTCTATTGCTTTATCGGAAACCATTTCCGGGGCCGCCTCGGGGGGCTCTGCCAGGGCCTGTTTGCTTGTCTGAAGGCCCGCGGGGAGGACCACAGACAGAAGAGAGGCTCCTTCAGCACCAGGCTGAGCTCCTTCTCCCAAAAACTCAGTGACCTGAAAGACCTGGCGATTGTTGAGCCGTCTGGTCATACCTAACTACCTGAAGGGGAGGAGGAGGCTTTCCACCTTCCTCCACTGGCTTCACACCCCAAACAGTGACGTCAACTTCAAAACTTCAAATGAGGGCTGAACTCCCAACAAGCATGGATGTGTGTCGCAGAGCTGTTACTACAACTGAATTACATTTCATTAGAGCCAGAGTGCACAAAAAGACAGAAACAAGTCACCAAGGAAATTATTATATTATTATTTAATTATAAGATTAAAGATTTTAAGTTTTAAAGCTGGTTAGCCAAACTGTTCAGCAAGCAGGCAGCTGTTAACAGCTCAAACATTTGTTTTAAATACACTGAAGGCTACACAACTTACTCAACACACTGCGGACAGACGGTTGGACAGTTAGCAGCTAGCTGGTGATAGCATAATATAGCATGTAGCGGCTAATGAAACAGACATTTACCTCCAGAGTAGGTAAAGACCAACAGATTGAGGTTTGTTGGCTAAAAAGAAGCTCTAAATGATTGATTATGTTACTCTCCATCTGCTAGGTGTGTAGTAGCCTATGCAACTGTTTGCTAACAACAGCTGTAAAAAAAAAAGTGATATTATCTCAGTTTTCACTAAGTTCTCTCATGTGAAGAAAAAAAGAATCTGTTACTACAAGTTTAAAGGTGTAACTAACCTGTACGGAGTCACTAGTCACATCAACTCTGCTAAGCTAAGGCTAGCTAGTTTACTTTCTTTGTTTCAGATTAGTTGGATTTAGCTTCTGCCTCATTTCTATGGAATGATACACTAGATACGTTTTTTATACAAGGAAACAGGAACGTATGAAAGAGTTCATGTATAATAGGCTTTAACTGTGGTTATCTCAACAGCTAGCTTAAATGTAAGCTCTATTTTGTAATTGTGCTAACTATGATGTTTTCTCTGAAATGAGACAATGGCATAACAATATTTTATATGGTAAAACACTTTTATATGGTAAATACATTTTGACCAAATGTGTGGGTACTGCGTTCTCTGCATTGAAGGGCAAAATCATAATGAGATATACAGATGTATTGGATAATTATTAACCAGTCAAAATAAAGCTTCTTTTACTGTGCTTTTATGAAACCAAGATATTAAGTGTATTCATGTTATATTGTTATGGTATTATTCTGTAAAGACAGTTTATTCAAATTACTTGCATTTACTGAAAATTAAAGTGACCAATATTGGCAAAAAAAAAATCCTTTTTATTGATTTGAATTCTCCAAAATTATTTTACGGATCCTTTACTAAAATGGGAAATGGTCGGGTAAATTTAAGCCACTAATTACACATACACCGGTTTAGTGAAATTGCTTATTTCAACTGTAATTTCTACTTTCTTTTATCCCAAATTCACCCTCCAACAGCTGCGACTCCGGAGCTCCCCCCCACCCGGGAGTGAGAGTGGTGTGATTACTGTCGGCTAGCAGATGGACATTCAGTCTCCCCATTTTCTTTCCCTCTCCTCCCAGAATGCCTCACTCAGATTCCGTACATATCAAGGCCAGATATCATAATCTCATACAAATGTCCCTATGATGCATTCCAGTCCAGTCAGTGGATTTGGTGCAGGGAGCCGCTGGCTGATCAATGATGTATCTCTGTCTGCTATTTGTGTCCAGTATAGATCCACTACATTCTGCATGGACCCTGGACTGCCTGTCTGTGAACTGAGAGCCAGGGGAGTGTGGTTAAATGTTGTCTTGTACTGAAGGACCATGGGGTAACATACACATGAAGTGGATAATGCTATAAACGTTTTTGTTGGAAGAGTATTTGCTTTTTTTCTATTCTAGATTTACAAAAAAAGATAACCTCGACATTTTATACAGATTAATGTCACCCAAAAAGAAAGAAAAGGCATCCATTCCTTACTCTGGCCGAACATGCAGTACATCATCCCTCATAACCTCCCAACGTTTGCCACTGGATGGCGCTAAAGTGCTGTAGAAGCACTGAAAAAATGCCACTGGCTGCTTACCCAGACAGAGCCCCAAAGTCCCAGCGCTCATGATCTTTCTGAGCCGAAGGGAAGATGGCTCTGACACAGACTGATGACTCATGTAGGATACAGTTCTGAATGCATGAAAACAACAAATGCTGCATTTAAAGAGAGCTGCCAGGCTCAAAGCATGTACTGAGTGGTACGGTTGACCTTTCCGAAGGGTCACTGGAGGGAGTATACAGGGAATAAAGACCATCAAAAACAGGAATGATACACATCTCAATGATGAGCTTATAAAACCAGATGCTATGCTATCACATCGGTAAAATAAAGCTGCATAAGTTTAATATTTTAATCAACAGCATCTTTAATTTGACACAACAGAACTTTCCGAGTGACAGCACAGATTGCAGGAGGAGTTTGTCGCAGTATGTTCAGGCACACAGCTCTGAGCTGATGGCTCGCCACTCCGCAGAGCAGGTGTGAGTGTCCCCGACAAACGTCTCACAGAAGACAGAGCAGTGACATGTGACTGAGAACATGTGCTGTTCACTATGGACGTCTAATGGGGAAATTGGAGCTGAGGAGTATGCTTAAACACTATCTTATATAGCAGGTGATAAACGTTTCCCATGCCTGCCATAACAAATCTTAACCTTATAACATGCCATTTAAATGTAACATGTTGAAATGTAACATCTTTGTGAATTACTTTTAGCTTGACTACAAGTGTAAGAATTCTGCCACTGGTAGAAAGTAACTTATTACATATACTCAGGTAGGCTACTTTCTATTTTCACTCCACTACATCAGAGAGAAATAATGTAATTTATGTTCGTGTACAGTAAATCCATGAGGACAGCTCATGGGGTACTGTGAGTCTGTGACTAGCTACTTTAAGTAAGTATCAGCATAAGATTGTACAAAAAAGATACTATCAGCAGATAAAGCAGAGGTAGAAGAAGAAATCAGATCTTATAGTTCAGTAAAAGTAGAACAACCAGAGAGTAGGAATACTCTGTTAAAAGTCCTGCAATCAACATGTCACTCAAGTAAAAGCACAAAGTATAAGCATCGAATATACTTAAAGTACCAAAAGTAAAAGTATGTAATGTCCCATTTTAGAATCATTTATGTCAATTAACTGGATTAGAATGACTGATGCATTAAAGTGTGATCAAAGCTGGTAAAGTCGCTGCTAATTTAAATTCCTTTGGTAGCTCCTGGTGTAACTGAAGTCTTATTTAAGTGTTGATTATATTTCTCATCATTAATCCAAATCTGTAAAGTAACTAAAGGTAATTAATAAATGTAGAGGAGTAAAATAATACTATTTACCTTTGAATTGTAGTGAGGTAGAAGTAAAAAGTAGCAAAACATGTACAAACTTAAAGGGGACCTATCATGCAAAATGCACTTGTGTACGTCTTTTATACATGAATATGTGTCCCCGGTGTTCCAGGGAACTCACCAAGTGTCAGAAAACACAACCCTCTCTATTTTCCTCCATACCCAAATCTCTAAAAAAGGGGCTGCAACGGATCTGATAAAAACTGATCCAGATTTGAACACTGTCCTGACGTCAGGACAGTGGCACTACGGCTATTGGGCCAACTCCACCAATCAGGAGGAGACAGCCACAGCCATTGCCGTTCGAAAGCGCTGGAGACGCTGTAGTACATATGCCAGGCCAGTAGATGGTGCTGTTCTCACAGAATCTGCCCTTGCAGAGCAGAGCTAAAAAAAAGTGCAAATTGAGCGAAATGAGGCATGGCTAAAATGCATGATCTGTTTGGTATTTTGAAAAGAAAAAAGTATAAATATGCCTTATATACTGTAGGTATGGTCCTACACTATAGTATTCAAATATAGCATGATAGGTCCACTTTAAGTATAGTACTTGATTAAATGCACTTAGTTACTTTACATCACTGTAAATCCTTGCTTTGTTAAAGATTAAACCAGATATTATTGACATTTTTGGATTGTGACCTTAGTTTTGACCCCTTATATAGAATTAGAGGCATATGACTTGTTAGCAGATCTACTGAAACTCTTCAAATGGTTCATTTAAATAACAGTTTGAGAAAACAAAGAGGTTGAATTACTTTATATTTTACAAAAAGCTAAGTAACAAAATAGTTTAATAATAAAAAAAAACTGTAGATTTGTCAACAAATCATTCTTCAGTCACAGGGGGCATTTACTCCAGAATAAATACTTTTTACACTTTTTGCTGATTATTATTTAGCATTAATACCATTGTTAATGCATATCCTTTACTTGTTTATGTATGTGAGTGTTTCCTATGTATTAATGCATGAACTGATTGGGGGTTAAAGATAATAACACTTGTTCCGCTTCTGAATGTAGACAAACCGCACATCTCTATTCTTAGAAACAGACAGTGTAAGAAAACTTCTGCTAATAGGAAAACTAAGCGAGTCCGTCACACACTGCACACGCACTGCACACGCACTGCACACACACTGCACACACACTGCACACGCACTGCACACATTTTCCTGTGTGCAAAGAGTGATATTGCTTCTTTTTCACTCATTTATTGTGCTTTCTATTGTTGTGGAAATATTCAGTTAGAATCTTTGATGTTATTTCCTGTCGATGAAAAAAAATACAATCATTTCCTGAGAGATACACAAACCCACATTTCAGTGTGTGCGTACATGTGTGTAGTGGAGGAGGAGGCAGAGCAACAAGCCATAAAGGTTAGAGGTTAGAGAGAGCTGCTATCAGTCTGGGTTAGACGCTGACAAAAAACTGAAAGCTGCTTTTACCAGAGCTCCCAAACGGACATTTTGAAACAGCAAGAAGCAGATATCAAATGAGAAGCTGGACAGCTGCCGTACCTGTGGAAACAACGAGAAGAGCAAAAAAAGGCCTGCAGCGGAACGTTAAAAGTGAGGAAGGGAGGAAGAGGAGAGCTGGCAATAGGAAGGAATACAGTAGTGGATCTGGAGAGGAGATGGAGAGCCTGTCTGTGTACCACGGGCCCATCGGGAAGGAGGAGGGGGAGAGGAGGCTGGGGCAGGACGGGCGGGACGGCTGCTACCTGCTGCGGGACAGCGACTCTGTGCCCGGGGTCTACTGCCTGTGTGTGCTGTGAGTACAGACAGGGGGTGATAAAGTATTCAGTAAAAGTAGAAATACTAGTTTGAAAGTAATCATCCTGAATTCAATATTGTACTTAAGAAAAAGTACTGGCATCAAAATGTAATCAAAGTACTCATTCTGCACAATGACCCGTTTCACAGTTACATACAGTACAGTCTTATCATGAGTGTACTAAGAGTATCAAAAGAAAAAGTATGTAGAATAGAAGTTTAGCTCTTTCTTAAGAATAGTATCCTGTTTTTATCACTTTTACAAGTATTTTAATCTTCTAGTTTATTAATTTGGAGCCAATTTGAGAGACTTCGTAACAAATGATTGATTAATACTGCATCGTGTCATATGAGCAGATTGTGTGTTTTTATATATAAAAAGCAACTAGTAACTAAATAAATGTAGTGGTGTAAAACATACAATACTGTCTCTGAAATGTAGTACTTAAATAATACTTAAGTACGGTACATATGTATATGTACTTTATTACATTCCACCACTGAGTACAAACACATCTCTGCTTCTTTACCAAGGAATCACACCAGCACATAATCCAATTCTCTTCTATTATAGAGAGTATTGAGTTCCTCACATTTAGGAAAATAAAAGTATTAACTGAAAGACGGTGGCCTACAATTAAGTGTGACAGTCTCATAAGAGAAGTAATGATCACAATAGTGACAGTAGAGCAAATGCCTGTTCTCAAGATGAAGTCAAGTTAAAGTCCTGCACTCAAAAGTAAACGTACAAAAGTGTAAGAAGAAAAAAATACTTAAGTACCAACTCTTAAATCCAAAGTGGCTTTTATTATATCACGGGTTTGTCAAAGTGATGCATTCATGTGTCTATCATTTTGATGTCGCAGCTGGTAAAGAATGACATGCCATAATAACTTTTTTGTACTGCCAGGTATCTCCATCCATAATCAAACTGTATTAGTTTAATACATGTTTGTATTTATATTATAAACCTGCACATTTAACTAGTATCTAAATATTTGTGAAATAAATGAAGTGGACTCACTTATTGCTGCCAAAATGTATTGGAGTAGAAGTACAAACTACTATAAAAGGAACAACTTAAACACAAGTACCTTAAAAATGTACCTTAGTACAGTACTTGAGTACATTTACTTCGTTACTGTCCACCTCTCAACATACTGAGTTACAAGTTCCTGCATTCAAAATTAAGTAAAAGTACAAAAGTATACATAAGCAGCGTCATATACTTAAAGAAAAAAAGAGTGAAAGTATTCATCTTGTAATGTGGCTCATTTTAGAGTCATATTAAAGTATTGTTTTATAATTATTGCACGAATGTGTTGCACTCGGTGAGGGTGGGATCTATCTAAAACACTTAGTAACGCTGATAGTTTAATCACAATGTATGAGTTGGTTTATATTTTGTATCAATAACCCAAATCTAGAAGATGCTACTGTAAGTACTAGCACTAAGTAGAAAGGGAAAAGTTAGTAACCTATGAAAATATATTACGATATTGTTTTAATGATACCTAAATCTGCAAAGTAATTAATAATCTATAAGTAATGTAGTGGAGTACAACGTTTGCCTACAAAATGTAAAAGTATAAAGTAGCAGAATGTGAAAATACTCAATTGAAGTTCAAGTATGTTGAAATGTATGACTGTCAAAGATCAAATGTGCTAATGTGTGTGTGTGTGTGTGTGTGTGTGTGTGTGTG